GTATATATAAAATATATATATAGTATATATAATATATACAGGCATGCGTATATGCAGATGCATGCATACGTATTCAATATGTGCACTTGACGTGCGCATCAATATATATGGAAGGCGCGCTCGCCCGCTTTGTGTTCTTTAATTCTTTTCATGTAGTTTTTGTATCCACAAATAAGCTACTGGCTATTTGCCACCTTGTGAGAATTGACGCTGCATCTACAGCTTCGCTACACTCTGCATCTACACTAAGTGGAAAAGGAACCCAATGGGCTCCTGCTTTGTTCTCTAGGCAAGAAGCTCAGACAACATATCAGATCAAATGCTTTCGTGAATACGTCAGGTTCGGTGGCGTTGAGAACGCACTCGTTCATTCGACGCAGGCAGCCGGTGTATGTACACCCGAGAAGCAGCATCGTTGCATATTGGCGCTTCTCTTCCACCTTTTTCGTCTCACGTCGTGCAATCTGTCGCAGCACAGTCACCACTACTCCGCCTTCTTCATCGTTCAATGAAGAAAGCGAAAAGGACAGAACACACCTGTTGTGCACAAGCTGCACGCCATCTGCCCTCCGTGCAGCTCGTCGCCGCAACAAAACGAGTGTTGTTTCGGGTGCTTTAAGTATTCGGATCAAGTATAACATCTCTTCATCGTGAAGAAAGACTAACTAATTATTTTCTAGTGGGTTGTAATGTCGCAGTCCTCTAGACCGCATCATCTCTACATGCAAAGAATGGCCGCGACGTCTACGGCTTCCGTCCCCTTGGCTTCCTCTCTTCGTNGCATCATCTCTACATGCAAAGAATGGCCGCGACGTCTACGGCTTCCGTCCCCTTGGCTTCCTCTCTTCGTCTTCTTCTTCTCTCCAACTCACGACATCAGCTGTTATCAACCAGCTTCCCCGACTCCTGTGTATGTTCACCGCACGCTCACTTACCACCTGCGCATACACCCCACGATGGAGTGTACGCACTGGCGGGAAGCGGTTCTGCGGAATCACTCTATACAATCGAATCGCATTTAAGCGTTTATCTGTTTTATCCGTCGTCCTTCTCCTTCCGCATATATAATAACCAACAGCCAGAAGCTTCAATATTCTCTTGCCGCGTTAAACCGCGCTTAGAAGATAGAGTTTCCTGCAGTCAG